AGCTGATGTCGGTACCGGGCCACGCCATAAAAAAGGTTGGGGATACCGGGCCGTGGCATAAGAAAGGTTGGGGATCACTGGTGTAAGGCGTCTCGAGTCGCTATGGGCGAACAGGCAGCAATATAAATTAAATAAATAAACAAACAAACAAATAAACCAACTCTTCTTTTTATCCTATAGCCTAGGGTAGCGTCTTTGTTTGTGAACTCTCAAAACAGTCTTTCTTCACTCAATCCTCTCCATAGGGGTTGGAGTCCCAGGTCCCCACTGTCCCATGGCTAATGCAAACCATGATTCAGTGCAGGGTTGTTGTCTGCAGGGAGCGGATTAAAAGAGACAAGCCTATGGTCACAACCACACCACTAAAAGGCCATCCCTTGTCAATGTGTCCTGTGAAAAAGGTGTGAGGTTATGGTTGTGGTTACCGCAACCTTTTTGACCCCCACTCCTTTAGATACCCCAGATTCAATTCAATTGGATGGATTAAAGTAACAGCCCAGCGTACACAACTGGAGAGAAAACATCTTTTAAGAATAACAGAATTGGAGGGCGCCTTGGAGATATTCTAGCCTCAGGCAGGAAACCCTGTGTCAGTGGTGGCTAACCTTTTCAACACCAAGTGCTGAAATGGGAGCATGCGCATGTGCCAGAAACCGGAAAAGCAGCTCCCTGATGCATTTTCGTCAGAGCGCCGGAAACTGGAAGCTTAGCTTCCCGGCGCGTACGCATTGTGAGTGCAAGGACCAGCTGCCAGCGTGCGCGCATGTGCTCCAGGGAGCTGCTCTTCCAGTTTCCGGTGCTCCTGTGCACGTGAAGACCAGCTGGCTGGCATGCATCAGAACCCAGAAGAACAATGGGCGATGGCTGGCGTGCCTGGAGAGATGGCTCTGCATGCCACTTCCGGCACAGGTGGCATAGGTCAGTGGCCCCCAACCTTTTTTGTGCCACGGCCCGGTACAGGCATCACAAAATGATCCGCGGCCCGGTACCGGCATCAGCACGCATGGCAAGGCGAGCCGAGCGACTGGCCGGCCAGCCGTCCCCCGCTTCTCCCCGCCACCTTCAACTCCTCCTTTGTACCTTTGTCGATGGGCTTCGGGACGGCTTCGGGACGGCCGCTTGGCTCACCTTGCCTTGGGTGCTGAAAGAATCCTCGCACCTTAGTTTTGTTCAAAGCCGCCCCCCCCTTCGATGAAACTAAGGCGCGAGGATTCCTTCAGGACCCAAATGCCGCTTTCCAACCGGAAAAGCTCACCGGAAGCACTTTCTCATCAAAACAAGATGGCGGCGCCCAGCAAACCGGCGGCCCGGTAGAAAATGTTCCACGAACCGGTACCGGTCCGGGGCCCGGTGGTTGGGGACCCCTGGCATAGGTTCACCATCACGGCCCTATATCATTTCAGGCAAATGGCTGTCCAATCTCTTCTGGAAAACAATCTCCAGTGATAGAGCATCCACAACTTCTGGAGGCAAGTCATCCCACTGATTACCGGTAATTGTTTTCACTTTCAAGAAATTTCTCCTTAGCTTCAACCAGTGGTGACATCTTGCACACATACTTATACTCCCACAAGCACACAACAGATACAAACACTAAGTACACCGCTCCAAACTCGATTGCAGAAAATATGACTTCAGCAACAGAGGGGTCAAGGTCTGGAACTCACTACCTGACTCCGTCGTTACAGCCTCAACCCCTCACAGCTTCAACCTCAAACTGTCTGTTGACCTCACCCCATTCCTAAGAGGTCCTCAAAGGGGGCGTGCATAGGCGCACCAGGGTGCCTACCGTCCCTGTCTTACTGTCCCCATTCACCTGTGTTTACTTCCTTTGTTCCTGTTTATGTTCATACCTGTACTTGTTATCTTGTACAAGTTTGACAAACTAATAAAATAAAGCAACCTCTACTTGCCTCTACTGTCATATGGGCCATGATGGCTCTCTGATGTCCTTCCAGGGTCTCCAGAGCAATGTGCGCGACTTCTGCTTCGGATTTGCCCAGGAACATTTGGCAAGCAGCTGCCAGCATCTCTTTGTTCTGGCCCTGGATCTTCACCTAGGTGGGAAAAGATGGCGGAAGAAAAGAAGGGAAACGGTCCTTGCTTATATCACACCCTCGACACGGAGTTTGTCAGCCTAAGGACCGTTTCTCTTCTAAGCAGCTGGTGATTGTCCTCTTCATCCCAAAAGAGAGTTCCATCAAATCAAATCAAGGGAAATAACAGGAGAACGGAGCTGGAAAGCAGGTTAGTGGGGTGGGGAGGGAATGGGGATTTTGCAGTATATCCTTCCTGTCAGCTTTGGAAGCCATATTGAGACCCTGATGCTGCCACGCTGCCACATTTTGAGGCCTGGGAAAATGGGAAGGGGGAATTTCTCGGGATGTACGTAGTTAGACATAACAACATTCTTTTTTCTAATTCAAGGTCATGTTATTTGGCGCATAAGTGAGGGGAAGTCTCAAGTTGGGGTGGAGGATTATTGGGGCCTGTGATGTGATGATGGGCGCAGAGGATGGACTTGTAGGTTTTACTTATTGTTATGAAGCCCGGAACTTTCATATTCGGGATTCCCCAGTTGTGCCAGTTTACTATCCAAAATAAAAAGAACTTTTGAGAAGATGTCTGTCTCGGAGTTATTGGTTGGATTGGAGGTTTTCTGGAACGCTGACACTTCTCCCGCCACGCCCACCAAGCCATGCCCACAGGATCGGTAGTAAATTTTTTTTTGAATCCCACCACTGAATTCCTTGGGTGTATTGCTGGAAAGAAAAAAAATTACCTGTGCAATGCCAGTGACTGAAATGGGGACCCCATGCCGGGTATAAACTTTCTCACTCTTCACATTTAAGGTCAGAGTGTTAAGTGAGATCCTGTAAGAGCAGGAAGGAAAGGATGAATGCACACACAACACACACACACCCATCAATTTCAGCTCTAACAAAAATGTCACCCTGTCTTTCTATCAGTGAATTCAACGAGGGCAGAGCACTCCTCCACTCCGTTTTAAACCCAATTAAGGTTAATGTCTGAAGGACGCAATGGGGTTGAATGGCTCGGCATCCTGCCAACCCTGGCTAATCTCGGAAGCTAAGCAGGGCCAGCCCTGTTAGTATTTGGATGGGCAACTGAAATGTAACCAATGGGCTACATTGTAAGCAATGGGCTTGCTTAATTAAAAGAGTGGCCAAGCCTTGGTGAGATCCTGAGAACCTTTAAATAGAGCCTTTCACAGCAAGATTTACCTCTGAATCTGTTGTATGCACGGTACCACAAACACCCGGCCACCAGCAATCATAACTGGGGGGCTGCGGCAGAAACCTGGGGAAAGAGATAAACAGTGCAGAATCAGCCAAGGCTAATTTAACGGATTAACAGAGTTGGAAGGGACCTTGTAGGTCATCTAGTCCAACCCCCTGCCCAAGCAGGAGACCCCACACCATTTCTGACAGATGGCAGTCCAATCTCTTCTTGAAAGCTTCCAATGATGCAGATCCCACTTGAATTCTTTAAGTACGGTCTATACTTAGCAACTTACCAAAGCTAAAAAAACCACGTGTTTCCTTAAGGATATCTACCTGTCCTACCAGATCAGATAGACACGCTCCCGATTCCTTCCCCCAGATATTATGACCTAAGAGGAGCTAGGAAGCATAACCAGATCCCTTGATCAATCCAGTCAATTAGATCCCTCGGTCAACTGTTCATTTGGTTTTTTTTTGATAACTGGTAATAAAAAGCAAAGAGACCTCTACAGAAAATGGTTCAGCAGGCATAGAATCTGATCGCTTCTTTGGGAAAATGAAGAAAAATGGCCAATTAATTCAAGGATCTCCAAACTTGGGAACTTGAAGACTTATGGACTTCAACTCCCAGAATTCCATGCTGGCTGGGGAATTCTGAGAGTTTTGACGTCCATAAATCTTAAAAGTTCCCAAGTTTGGAGACCCTTGAATTAAAGGAAGAGGAAACAGAATGTAATACAAGTAGCCCTCTACTTACAACTATTTGTTTAGTGACTATTTGAAGTTGTAATGGCACTGAGAAAAAGTGATCTATGACTGCTCCTCACAGTTACGACCGTCGCAGCATCCTCATGGGCACCTGATCAAAATTCAGGCACTTTGCAAAGCGGCATATAATTACGATGGTTGCAGCCTCCCAGAGTCATGTGATCACTCTTGGTGACCTTCCCAAGCAGCGACCAGCAAGCAAAGTCAACGAGGGAGGCCCGATTTGCTTAATGACCGCGTTATTCACTTAACAACTGCAGTGATTGGTTTAATAACTGCGGCAAAAAAAGGTCATTAAAAATTAGGCTCAAGTCACATAAGAACAACCTCGCTCAGCAATGAGAGTTTTGGTCCTTTTTGTGTGATCGTTAAGTCAAGGACATCTTGTATTCTAAGAAGAAACATGGGAATTGCTGACCAAGATTATCCAATAGGGCATGATTTTGTTATACATTAGTGGCCAAAATTGTGGAAACTTTTTGGGAAAAGTGTCTCCTTGTGTATTTTATGCCACCACTACCAAACAGGGAGATTTTGGTCTCATCACTCCAAATAACACTGTCCCATTGTTCCGCTGTCTGGGTAACATGGGTTTTAGCCCAGTTTAGTCTTTTCAACCTTTGTTTGAAAGATATAAAAATGGCTTTTTTTTGTGGAATTCTAGATTTTAGGCCAAATTCCTGCAGTCTGCGCCGAACAGTCCTTGCAATCAACTTCACATTGCATTGCACCATTTCATCTTGTATACACCCAAATGATTTTCTTCTGTCACGTAGGCACAGTCTTAATTAATTAATTCTTCTATCATCACTTGCTGTTGTGCACCTTTTCCTGCCTTTACCAGTGTGGTTTTGTAGTGACTGAGTCCCTTTATACCTCTTCAAAAACTTAGAAATGCCACCTTTGGTTAAGTTTCCACTAATTTTTCTTCTAATTTCTTTATAATTGTAGCCTTGTTCACTTAATAATACTATTTTACATCACTTTCTGGGCGACAGTCAACTCTTTGAACCATTACTTTAATTTTATTGTGTTTTACAAGCTTCCTAAATAAAAGAATACAAAAAAACCCCAACCAACTTGATAGCGATCACATAACACACTGACAAATGTCCTCCTCTGAGCTTTAACACATGACATCAAACACTGAATCTGACTGGCTCTCTAAACACCTGATTGGCTCTCTAAACACTCATGCTCATTGGCTACAATCAGATGAAGGAAAGTTACCTGATATCAACCTAAGCAAGTTGTGCTTCCTTTTTCTTGTTATTTGGCTATATCTTTTCATAGAATACAGATAATTGAACAAACTTCATTGCATTACGTTCTTGATTAAATGATCATTCCATAGATATATAATTTTATGGTACTAGTTTAAAAAAAAAGTGGTGTTATTAGCCATCAAACCTCAAAAATACACCTTTCCCAAAAGGTTTCCACAATTTTGGCCGCTACTATAGATCCCCTTCACAAACTATTCCAAAGGACTGTGAAACACTTTGGCTTCTGTTCCAAAAATCTGCTTTAAAAAGCGTAGGTCATGATTGTTAACACTCGTCAATAATTCTTTAAAGCAGCTGTGTCTTTTCCCAGGACTGTACAGCTGCCCTAGGCTGCACAGCTGTATTAACAACAAGTTTGAGTCTGTGCTCTAATGATTATACAGCCAAAACGTGATGATTGGAAAATGGGAAGCCAGCACAGTCAGGGGAACAGCCCTTGCTGGAGGAAATCCACTTTGTGAAAATAAAAGCACTGAGTAGTTAAAAAGAAAGAGGAGAAAATGGTGTCTCCAAATGAAATCCTCAAGAGCGAACTACGTCTGAACAGCTGAAAGATGGTTGAACATGCAAAGTGATCCATGCATGCTTGAACAGAGCAATCTGAAAGAAAACACGGCTAGCTTGGACAAAGGGCATACTGCCACATTTTGTGGCTGCCCTGAAGGCTGATCTTATCAGATAAGAAAGCTAAGAAAACGGAACAGGAAATGGAGCACTTACCCGAGACAACCATGGCTTCATTGGGGCCACAGGTAAAGAACATCTTGATCTAGAGAGTCTGGAAAAGAACAGAAAACTGGGGTTTCAGGATAGTAGGGCTGGAAGGGACCCTGGAGGTCTTCTAGTCCAACCCTCTGCTCAAGCAGGAGACCTTATATCAGGGGTCTTCAAACTTGACAGCTTTAAAACTTGTGGACTTCAACTCCCAGAATTCCTCCTCCAGTCATGTTAGCTCAGGAATTCTGGGAGTTGAAGTCCACAAGTCTTAAAGTTGCCATAAATCATTTCAGACAAATCCAGAGGTGGTCTTCAGCAGATTCTGACCAGTTCTGGAGAACCAGTAGCAGAAATTTTGAGTAGTTCGGAGAACCGGCAAATACCACCTCTGACTGGCCCCGGCCCCATCTCTTCTCTGCCTCCCGAATCCCAGCTGATCGGCTGGGTCTTCTTTGGTTGCCCTGCACAGGAGAACGGAGCTGGAAAGCAGGTTAGTGGGGTGGGGGGGGAATGGGGATTTTGCAGTATATCCTTCCCCTGCCACGCCCACCAAGCCACACCATGCCCACCAAGCCAAGCCCACAGAACCGGTAGTAAAAAAAAATTGAATCCCACCACTGGACAAATCTCTTTAAAATCACCAGTGATGGAGCACCTGTAACTTTTGAAGGCAAGTTGTTCCATGGATTAATTGTTCTGATTGTCAAGAAATTTCTCCTTAGTTCTAGGTTGCTTCTCTCCTTGATTAGTTTCCCCCCATGGCTTCTTGTCCTGCCCTCAGGGGCTTTGGAGAATAGCTTGACTCCATCTTCTTTGTGGCAGCCCCTGAGATATTGGAAGACTGCTATCCTGTCTCCCCTAGTCCTTCTTTTCATCAAACTAAACATACCCAGTTCCTGCAACCGTTCTTCATATGTTTTAGCCTCCAGTCCCCTAATCAACTTTGCTGCTCTTGTTTCATATCTTATTTCATATCTGGCCTTTCCGTTTCCCCTGTAGTGAAACATCCTGCTTGCATTAATGTGGGATAATGTGAAACCCTCCAGATGTTGCTGGATAGTGGGAGATGGCCAATACTTCACTTCAGAACTAAAAGTTTTTTCATCCTCACCCAGAATTAAAATACACTACACTCCTTCACAATTAATCTCCCCTCCTTCAAATTAAATTGCTTCAAACCTAGGATCCTATTCAGGGGTGGGATTCTACCAGTTCGCACCTATTCGCTAGAACCAGTCGTTAACATCCTAAGCAATTTGGAGAACCGGTTGTTAGAAGAAATTACTGGCCTAATCCTGTAAGGAAGACAGGAAGGAAACATTCTGGTGTTGCTTACAGAAACTGCCTCTCCGTTAATCCTTATTATATTCTTGGCAGGACTAGACTTCCTGCCTCAGGAACTTCTCTGGAGTTTTTTTCCCCTCCTTTGCTGGTACTTTGCTTGTGTGGAGTGACCATTCAAAGTTACAATGGCACTGAAAAAGGTGACTTATGACCATTTTTCACACTTACAACTGTTGCAGCATCCCCGCAATCATGAGAGGCCAAGCGAGGAGATGCGTGCCTCGATGTGAGTGATGTTGATTTGACTACACCCAGCCAGTCACATTACCACCAAGCCACGCCCACCAACTAAGCCACACCCACAGAACCGGTTGTTAAAAAAATTGAATCCCACCCCTGATCCTATTCAATGAACTACCTGATTTTCCCCAGTGCTTAAATCTGCAGCCAAGCTTGCAATGCAGATTCCTTAAAATCAACACAACTTTGGACTCAGCACCAAAGAATAGGGAATAACTCTGACTTGATGATAAAACACCAATTCTGCATGCAGAAAATCTCACATCCATTCCCAATATCACCAATTAGATTAGAAAAGATCCATGCTGGAAACACCAAAGAGTTCTTATGAATGAAGAATTCTTGAGGAATCTACTGAAGGTAATAAAGCCGCCGATGCCAACTACACTGGTCGCTGAGCTTCCTCCAACCCAGGGATTTTGGCAACTTCCAAATATATGGATTCCATCCCCTGGAATGTCACACACATCTGTCCACACATCTGGAAGTGGACAAGATTGGAAAATCCTGGTGTAACCAAAGCTGCTTGTTTCTATGGACATTTACACAGCACCTATCTTACCTGGTGCTCTCCAGATGTGCTAGGTGTTAGGAATGTAAGTCACCTAACAGTTATTTGGGTTGGAAATATATAAACTAGGATAGACATTTTAATACCGTATCTTTAAGGGAATGCTAAAATTGTAATTGGGTGTGGTTTCTCAAACGGCCATAAGATGGAGCCAGAAACCTGGGTTGTTTAGTCTCAGGAAAGTCTCCCGCGAGTCTCTGTTTCTTCTGTTGGAGAGAGTTGCCTTTCCTCCATTTTTCCCTATTAACTGTTATTCTTGGATTTGAGGTAAGTCTGTTACTGAACTGTTTTTGATACTGGATTTTGTTATTGGATAATCCCTGGACTGAAAACTGACTGATTTAACCGTGAATGACTTGGACTGCTTATCTTGGACTGTGCTTAAACGTTTATTGGAAGTAAAAAAACCTACATTTACTGTACAGTGTATCTGTGTGCTGTTTGTGTATTATTCTTCACCACTCTCACTACGTCTCCCTGTTATGCGCTCATTCTCCTAACGGGGAATTATCTCAACACTAGGCCCACTCCCATAGTTTCTACATGAACTGGAAATGAAGGTCGACAGATGGAAGTCACAAAGTCCAACACACCTGAAAGGCACCTAATCCAGAGAATCTCCTTATAGATCACAAACCTGGCAACCTTTGCATCCTGCTACTTAGGCATTGTCCCTGGAATCCTCAGAGCCGAAATAACTCATTTTCAAAAAAAAAAAAAAAAAAAACGACAAGCAAACAAAACCTTCTGTGGATCAGAGTTTGTCCATTGCTGCTAAACTTCTATTGCAGCGAGCGGTCTCCAAACTTGGCAACTTTTAAGATTTTTGGATTTCAACTCCCAGAATTTCTCAGCCATGCTCGTGTTTCCCTTAGTTGCCAAAGTCTTCTCATGCTTGGAGATGCTTGGAAGTGAACTTTGGATTGCTCAATATGAAAAGGGACATATATACCAATTCCAAGCCTTACAGAGCTCTGAAGTTCACGACTGACTTTTGGATTCATCTCCAAGACAGGGCAAGGAAGTTATACAGCTGTTTCAGGACTGGTGAGTGATCTCCACCCCAAGTCTGGTTAACTAAGTTTGCCTTAGAATTATCTAAACTTTCCAGAACACTTTTGAAGGCAGCCCCACCTCTGACAGCTTCCAGTCAATTACACATCCTAGACCCAAAACTGTGACAAAAGTCATAATGCATGTGTGCTTGGATGAAGAACATCATTTTACAAGAGTACTTGTTAATGGTTAACACAATAGATACTTGAGTCTATCTAACATAACCAAAGAGTAGTGTTTCTCAACCTCGCTAACTTTTAAGAAGGTGGACTTCAACTCCCAGAATTCCCCAGCCAGCATGGCTATTGATTGCTAAGAATTCTGGGAGTTGAAGTCCACATTCTTAAAAATCACCAAGGTTGAGAAACCCTAATCTAGAGCTTGTTTTAAAGGACAGAAGGTTATTTTAGAACAAGGGTCTTCAAACTTGGCAAGTTTAAGACTTGTGAACTTCAATTCCCACAATTCCTGAGCTAACATGACTGGAGGAAGAATTCTGGGAGTTGAAGTCCACAAGTCTTAAAGCTGTCAAGTTTGAAGACCACAGTTTTAAAATGTTGGATGGTTTTAGAATGTTGAACGTTACATAAAATAAAGGTAGTCCTTGACTTACAACCATTCATTTAGTGTCTGTTCAAGGTTACAGTAAGCACTGAGAAAGTGACTTGTAACTGTTTTTCACACTTAAAACCACTGGAGTATCCCCAGGGTCATGTGATTAAAATTTGGGTGCTTGGCAACTGGTATGTATTTCTGACAGTTGCATGTCCTCAGGTCATGTGATCAGCACGTCCCCTTTCCACCTGAAGACAGTGAAGGAAGCCTGGTTTGCTTTATGACTTGATTCACTTAACAACTGCAGTAATTCGCTTAACAACGGGAGCAAAAAAAAGTCATGAAATGCAGCACAACTCAGTTCTAACTGACTCTCAGCAACACAAAATCTTGGGCATACATTGAGGAGTACCTGTAATGTACATTTGCCCTGAACTTTTGCAGTGGGTGACATGCATTTATTTATACATAAAAATGGAAAGGATCAAAGAGGTCATCTAGTCCAACCCCTTCTCAGGACAAGATTCTGTGAAAGGAATCCATCCAGCACCATTATTCTGAGCAGAGCATTTCAATGCTCAATAGTGCTACCTTATTTCCTCCTAATTATCCTGATAACCATCCCCTTTACCGTAAGTCTTGCCACTGGCCGCATATATTTCTTCTAAGTACGTCGATCATGGAAGAGGCTATATCCTCCCCCCCCCCCCCCCCCCCACCCCCCCCCCCCACCCAAAAATCTGGAGCCATTTTCCATAGGAAGATGTAATTATTTAGGCAGTGCATTTAGCCACGGGGTGTCACTTTAGTTAAGGCGAGCAGCTCATGAGGACTAGTGCGTTAATTCAAAGTAAGCACCCTCCAAAGAGGAAGATGACCCAGTAAATTTCCACACTTACAGGATGCCAGCCGCCACATCCTGTAGCGTGGGGTTTTTCTAGGGCAATGTGAAGCTTGTCTACGGTAAATAGGAAGCTTTTCGTCCCTAGGGATTGATTGTCCCCACGACGGCTTATACTTATGCTATCGTTGTCGCTTGAGGAGAACGCACCCAGAGAAGAGCCACCGCTCTCTGCAAAAGGCAGCCGCAGGCCTGTTATTATTCGTGTGCATTTGGCAAAAAGAGCGCAAGGGGGGAAAGGGTACGATCCCCAACGGAGCTGCGTGCAATCTTGAAGCTGCCCGCTGCTCGTTGGCGCAAGAACCGCTTCTCCCCCCACCCTTCCCGGTTCCCCTCGACGCCCAGGCCCTACCTGCCTTCCCAGGACCCGCTGCTTTCTGCTCCCAAACAGGCACACACCCTTCCTGCCGACGCCGCGCCTTTCCCGGCAGCCCTCGCTGGCTCCTCACTTTCGCTTTTCCACAAGCGCAGCCCCTGCTGGAGGCTGCCGGGCGGCGCAGGGGCGGCTGATGGCGGGAAGGGAGCAAGACCGCCGCCGCCACCTCAGCCGCCACAGCCGCCTCGCCCGCGCTCGCCTTGGGCTGGCCGGCCGCGTTCTCCGTCGGGCGAAGCGGCCGAAGACGGCACCTGAGGTCCATCTGGTGGCCGCCAAGAATATAGGAGGTTGAGGCTGAAATTGGGATGAGATGGGATAAGAGGAGGGAAGAAAAGACGAGAGGGAGGAAGGCAAAAGGGGAAGGAAAGAAGGGAAGGAGGGAGGGAGGAAAGAAGGAAGGCAGAAGGGGAAGAGAAGGGAGGGAGGGAGGAAAGAAGGAAGGTAGAAGGAAGTAAAGAAGGGAGGGCGGCAGAAGAAGGAAAGAAAGGATGGAGGAAGGAAAGAAGGAAAGTAGAAGGAAGAAAAGGGAGGGAGGCAGAAGGGGGAGGAAAGAAGGAAGACAGAAGAGGAAGGAGGGGAAGGAGGGAGGCAGAAGGGGAAGTAAAGAAGGGAGGGAGAGAGGAAAAGAAGAAGGTAGAAGGAAGTAAAGAAGGGAGGGAGGCAGAAGGGGAAGAAAAGAAGGAAGGCACAAGTGGGAGGGAGGGGGCAGAAGAGGAAGAAAAGGGAGGGAGGAAAGAAGGAAGGCAGGCAGAAGGGGAAGGAAGGGCTGGAAGAGGAAGGGAGGGAGTTGGAAAATGGAGGAGGGGTAGGAAGGAAAAGAGCTAGAGGAGAAGGGAACGAAAAGAAGGGAGCTAGAGGAAAAAGGAAGGAGAAAGGAGCAGATGGAGAAGAAAGAGTTGAAAAGAGATGGAAAAGAGAAAACAGTTGGAGAGGAAAGGGAATGAGGGAGATGGAGACGGAAGGAGGGAAAGAGAGGAGAAGGGAAAAGAGATAAGGAAAGAAGGAAAAAGAAAAAAGAGGGGAAGAGGAGGAGGAGGGAGGGAGAAAGGAAGGAAGAGGGACAAAATAATTGGGGAAGGAAGGGAGGAAGGAGATGGAGAGGGAAAGAAAGGTGGGAGGGAGGGAAAGAGAAGGGAAGAGAGAGGGATGAAAGAAGAAAGAGAGAAAAGGAAGAATGTAATAAAATTTGAATGAAGGGAAGTTCACCTTGTACAGTTAAATGAACATGGGGAAGTCAGGTGCAAGTTGAATTAGGAACAAAAGAATTAAAATTCGTGTCAGAAAGTATGAATTGGTATCCCGTCACTTATTTTGGATGGGCATAAAAGTAGAAATCTACAGGTTTGTAAAAGCTGCGTGCTAGGTAATTATTGATTGATTGGTTTTAAAAGACTTACATGGTCCATCTTTAATGCCACAACTCTGGGTGGCTCTTACCCACAAGAACAAAAACATAGAATAAACAATGAAAGCCAACATCCAAGGAAAAGAAATCTGGATGCCTTAAATTAACCCTAGAATTATGGTTGTGGATTGTGGCTGTTGTTAAGCGACTACAATCCCTGTTCCTCCCCATTGTGGACACTAAGTCGCTGCAGGTTTTCGTGGTCATAGCAGTGCTAAAAATGGATCTCCAGGGCAAATGGAGAAAGAAGGAAAGGAAAGGTTTTTAAAAAAAGCAGTGAAAGAAAGAATGAAAGAAGAAGGACTTCAAGAAGAGAAAGGTCAGAGAATTAGCACTTAATGCTTCGATTTTTTTAATAGATTCAAGGCTGCTCATTCACGAGCTGAAAGCAATATAGAAAGAAAATAAAAGATGCCACCAAGGAAGTTTGTCCCTTGGAGACACACAATGTGGAATGTCTATGGAGATTCTCATTCATCCAGGTCAAGGTTGTCCCAAAGGTGCTTTTTCAAGAGGCAACTGGACTTTCTTGGCTTTTCTTTGAAGATGTTTCGCTTCTCATCCAAGAAGCTTCTTCGGCTCTGATTGGATGGTGGGGAATGGTATAAATCCTTCCATTCGCCACCAGTCAGAGCTGAAGATACTTCTTGGATGAGAAGCGAAACATCTTCAACAGTGGTGGGATTCAAAAAATTATTACTACCGATTCTGTGGGTGTGGCTTGGTGGGCGTGGCAGGGGAAAGATACTGCAAAATCTCCATTCCCTCCCCACCCCAACAACCTGCTTTCCAGCTCCGTTCTTCTGCGCAGGGCCCAGAAGACCCAGCTGGGACTTGGGACTCGGGAGGCAGAGAATAGATGGCCAGTCAGAGGTGGTATTTGCCGGTTCTCTGAACTACTCAAAATTTCCGCTACTGGTTCTCCAGAACTGGTCAGAACCTGCTGAATACCACCTCTGGTCTTCCAAGAAAAAACAAGAAAGTCCAGTTGCCTCTTGAAAAAAAAAGCACCTTTGGGACACAACGTGGAAATGTCCTTATTTTCTCCATCTTTCCCAGCGCATGTCCTCTCCAATCGATGAGTGTGTGATATCTTTTGGTCGTTGATAGCTGCAAGGTAAAAATGTAAAAAAAATGCCTTCTCCCCCTTACTCATGCACTGCTGAAGGACAGTCCCTAGATGCTTTCAATCTCCAGGGGTTTTGAATGACTATGGAATTCTTGCAACACAGAACGGAAGGGACCTTGGAGGTCTTCTAGCCCAACCCCACCATTTCAGACAAATGGCTTGTCCACTCTCTTGTTAAAAACCTCCAGTGTTGAAGCACCCACAACTTCTGAAGGAAATTTATTCCACCAATTAATAGTTAAAAAGACCCAAAGAGCTGTTTCTGCCTGGTTTTGAACCAGGGACCTTTCGCGTGTTAGGCGAACGTGATAACCACTACACTACAGAAACTCCTTTAGAAAGAAAATCCATTCCCTGACCAGGAATCGAATCCAGCCACAGTGGTGTGAGCACTGAATCCTTAGCCACTAAACCACTAGAGAACCCTTTGTTAAACCAATTGCCATCATTTCCAGCCAGTGTGAGGAATTACTGAGGTTGAATGTCGGTGCAATCTAGGAAATGCTGCTTTGAACGTATTAAAATGCTTTGCAAACAGAGCGTTTCTTTTTAAAATCCAGAGCCAGGTGACAATACACTTTGCAGCCAGAATATGGCACGCACAGATCAGCTAAGTCTAATCAGAGCACATATAATTGTATGCCACCTGGTGGTTGTAAAGTATATGATGACCTATCGATCAATCAGAATAGAGCTGAGAGGAAACTTGGAGGTCTTCTAGTCCAAAAGAGGGATAGAATCAAGATCCTCTGAAGTATTAATACCACTTTATAATGCCTTAGTAAGGCCACACTTGAAATACTGCATCCGGTTTTGGTCACCACGATGTAAAAAAGAGGTTGAGGCTCTAGAACAGGGGTGTCAAACTCAAGGCCAGGGCCTGGATCCGGCCTGTGGGGTGTTTAGATCTGGCCCACAGGGCCGACCTAGAAACAGTGAAGGACTGGCCTGCGATGCCTCTGCCAGTGAAAACGGAGCTCGGGAGAGCCACTTGTGGCCTTCCCGAGCTCCGTTTTCATTGGTAGAGGGTTGTAGGAGGCCGTCGCAGCTGAAAATGGAGCTTGGGAGCCTATTTTTGCTGGCAGAGTACTCGGACCACCGCAGGTGCTCCCGACACGAGTGACATCGAGTCACGCCCACCCTGGCCATGTCCCCCCCCGTCCCCCTGAGGTCAAACACAACCCTGAGGCAGCCCTCAATGAAATCGAGTTTGACACCCCTGCTCTAGAATGAGTCCAGAGAAGAGCAACAAAGATGATTAGGGGACTGGAGGCTAAAACACGTAAAGAAAGGTTGCTGGAATTGGGTATGTCTAGTTCAGTGATGGCTAACCTATGACACGCGTGTCACTTGTGACACGCCGAGGCACTTTGACTGACACGCCTGTTGGTGTGGGGAAAACCTGCACATTTAGAGGCTGCCTGTGCTCTGCTCCAATCCCTGCTCCCTGCTTGTTGCGTGGAGGCATGGTGTCACCGCTGCCGCAAGATCTTTGCAGCAGAGAACCAGTTTTAACCGCCATAAACTGAGGTTTGTCAGTTTCATTACCTCAGGAACGCTACAGGAGGAAAGGAGATCCATGAGGTTCACAGCCCTGTAAGGTGGCCTTCTGATCCCCACATCCTGCACCTGCAGCCCTGAGACCAGAGAGACGAGTTTTACAGCCCTGTGTGATCACCCCAGCCCAGTCCGTCATAAACCAAATTATTGATATTTCTTGAAGTGACACACGACCCGAGGAAGGCTACACTTTTTCCCGATTTTCGACACACTAAGCTGAAAAGGTTAGCCATCACTGGTCTAGTTGAATGAAAAGAAGGACTAGGGGAGACATGATATCAGTCTTCCAATATCTCAGGGGCTGCCACAAAGTAGAGGGAGTCAAGCTATTCTCCAAAGCCCCTGAGGGCAGGACAAGAAGCAATGGGTGGAAACCAAGGGTGGGCTTCAAAATTTTTAGCAAAAGGTTCTTTGCCGGGTTGCTGGGTGGACGTGGCCATAGTGGGCATGGCCTAGTCAGCCTCCTGCACCACGGCGGGGGGGGGATTTTTGCCCTCCCTAGGCCCCAGAAGCTCTCAGAAGCCGGAAATGGGCCCATTTCCGGCCTTATTGAACTTCCGGGAGGCCCATTTTTCACCCTCCCTGAGCCTCTGTGTGCGCCCTGCACTTACCTGCATCCAAATCGGGCCGTGTGGGGACTCCTGGGAGAGGGGGAGGGGCAGGTCAGGGCCAGCCAGGAATAGGATTTGGGGGTTCTCCGAACTGCACAGAATCTGATCTGGGGGCTCTCCCGAACCCTTGAGAGAACCCTCAGCAGCCCACCCCTGGTAGAAACTAATCCAGGAGGGAAGCAACCTAAAACTAAGGAGAAATTTCCTGACAGTTAAAAACAATTCATTAGTGGAACAACTTGCCTTCAGAACTTTTCCTGAAAGTTTTTCAGAAGAGATTGGATAACCCTTTGTCTGAAATGCTATAGGGTTTCCTGCCTAAGTAGTGGGTTTGACTAGAAGACCTCCAAGGTCCCTTCCAACT